TCAATGAATAGCGGGATCAACCATCACTTTATAACGCCCTCACGGCTGAAAGGGCGAGCGTCTTCGGCGACGGGAATTCACAGGTTGCTAGTTGAGCGCCCTAATCACCAGTCCACATCTTGAGGAAAATAAAAGTGTAAATGGCGGAATTGGCTGTATGGCAACATACGTATAGCGGAATATCATTGGAAATTACCACAAAAATTTATGATCCAACAACTCGCATGGGAATTTCAAATGCAAGAATCCATGTGTACCAGCCGCAGTGAACAGAAAAACAAGTAAGGGCCATATATGTGCCAGCCGCAATGATTGGGTTAAAAACTGTTTTGTATTGCAGGAAACCATTGTCATATTCAGGTTTTTCACCCACGTATAATATATTTATTTTTGGAATCTATTTTACTAAAGACTTGAAAATAAAAGTTTTCAAAATCTGTAGTGAGGTGAGCAACCTCAGTGATAATCTGAAATATTTTTATGTGAATTGTTTTAATAGTTGACGAAAAACTTTATTTGTAAACGAAACTACTTATTTAACAATTCAATATTATGTTTTCAATTCAAAAAACAAACTTTTAATTGAATTAATACTGTAAGAAATAAAACAGTTTCGATCCCGATGTTATACTACAATGTGATCAATCATTGGAAACTCTAAACAGTGTAAGCCTTATAATCATCTCGAGACCAAAAGTTTGTTTCAAGCAAGGACTCACTGTATAACCAACATTACATTTCAACAAAAACTAAAAGTATTTATTATCTACGTATTTTATGGTACATAATTTTTAATTTTCAAGTTGATAATTAAATCGAATTTTCTTATACCATCGTTATGAATTTCTACACCGGATTGTTATTTCTACACATACTAAAATTTTAAGAACTGAATGATAGGCCGATAATTCTTGTATGTTAATTAATATTTACAATTTTATGTAATAAATAAAAAAAATCTTCCGTTGTATTTGTATATCATAGCGCCTGTTCTGTACAAAAAAGCACACAGAAGAGCTCATTCGTAGTGATATTGGGTTGATGTGATTTTCACAGTTAACTTGTTTGTTTGCAGTTAAGCTGTGCCCACCACGTAAAAGCATGGATATAGATTTTTTTTTTATTAGAAGTGCTTTTAATATAATTTATTAGTGTAGCACTCTTGCAACATAAATTTGTAAATTTTTTGGTAGTATTGAAACTTGTTTCAGATGAAGTTGCTTTTCTTTCGTTTGTAAAGTCCACAGCACTCACTGAAGGTAACCTATATGTCTTACACAGATTTCATTTGATTAATTATTTTAATTACTAGGAAAGTTTTATCTAAAAAAATGCTTGTTTTTTAGTTATGCACAAAGCTACACAATGGACTATTTGTGCTCTCGAAATCTCGTTTCTAGCATTGTAAGTCCGCAGACATACAGCTGTGCCACAGCTCTCACACACAAATGAAAATACGTCATTGTTAGTGCACTCACCAATATTTTATGCAAATAAACAGAAAGAAAACAGATATATGGCTAAAAGTAGTATTGTATTTATGGCAAAGCTGCTACAGCTATCTGTCATCCCAAATTTTGAACTATTGACCATAGGAAATGCAGATAATCAGAAGCACACTAAAGATATGACTCATAACACACCCACAGCTTAGAGTAGAAGGAATATTTTGTGAATATTGTAACCCAGCTCGCCAGATCTGAAATCCAATTTCTACCACTACGTCAACCTGCACCCAACTATATACTAATAAAACTTTGAGATTATTTGTTTGCTTGTCTATAATTAAATACAGCAAAAACGGTGCACAATATGAGAATATGAATGAAAAATGAGAATAGAAGCAGAATAAAACAAGTTTCGTTAAAATCGGGCCATGGATTACCGAGCTATGACCGTTTTTCAGGACACTTTTATGAAAATTTCTAGCATGAGTAATTTTACATCTCACTACCGTTCGCGCTCTTTACGAAACTTCTTCGTTCAAATCTATTTCCCTGTCAATATTCCCATCTTCATTAAAAGGCTTAAGATGACAAAAACAAGATCTTGAAGAATTTCTCAATAATGTGCCTTGGTTCTGGTAGGTTAGGAAATGAGAAAATTTTCTCAGTCAAATTCTTCATAACCTCTGAATAGTGGGTAACCCAATGGGTCACGGGTGGTCCAGTATTTACTTAATCTTCAATATCTTAAAAACACAAGTTAAAATAACTTGTATACATAAATGTGATACATAAATAATTTGCCTTCCTGATTAAACACGAGACATATTTTGGGAGTCTCAAATTCCAACATCTTTATGTAGATGTGTATATATACACACACATATATATATATATATATATATATATATATCAGTTTAACTAGAGCTTCCATAAAGCCTTTAGATAATCTAAGTCAGAAAAAAAAAGCTTTACTCTCCAAGATAATTTAAAAAACACTTTTTCTATTTAAATCTATGTTACACCATGGCAGGTACAAAAACTGATTAATATGAAAATATAGGCTAACATATTATATCACTCAAGACTGTTGAAATGTTCTTTTTTTACAATACAGAAACTGTAATAGGGTTTTGGTTGTCTACATTTGAGGTTCCATGTTTCTGCAGAAAGTATTCTACTGGGGTAGTTTTGTATGGTTTATATTTATACAACATATTAATAGATTTAGAGATGCAAGTGTGTAAATGTTTTTTAGTTTCTCCTACCTATGTGTCTCCATATATATTACACATGATTTAATAGCCAACATTTTCAGAGTGGCATTTTTGCCATGCTCCATTTTCTCCAAAAATAAACTGAGACAAAGGATAGTATATTTAATTACACTCCCATTCAATCACACATACAAACACACACCCAACATCCTAAATGCTTTATCTTGTAGATCAACACTAGCTTATGCTATCACACAGTCATACAACCACTGTTCACAATTATGTTTCTACCCTCCATCTTATATATTACTATTATTTCAAACTATACACCAGTTCACATTGTTTTAGAGCAGTTAAGAGGCTAACTCAGGACACAGACTACTTATCTGAACACTAGACATTTGTAGTCTCAGTAACAGTTATGCAACTCCAGTTTTATTATTTTAACACAGTTAGTGAAATTTGTATTCTTTTGGTTTAAATTTTTGTCTTAACTGCCTCAGTTCTTTCTTTCTGTATTTTGTGGTAAAGCACAAAAGAATTTGAATCTGTCTTTAGTTTTCAATTTCACATAATATACATCAGATGTTTGTATAGTAATTGGTTACTAACATAACTATACTATAATCAAAAAAACAATTGTGAAACAACAATAACATTCAGAATGTTGTTAAAAGCATGTTACAACAGTTTCAAGAAATGGAACATCAAAAAGCACTTTAGTAAGTTAATATATATTTTTATATTAATCTGATTTTGCACTAGCCCTGATTAAGTCACAATGACAAAACATAGATTGAAAGTTTTTTTAATTCTTTGGAGAGTAAAGATAGTTTTATTCTAACTTCACTGTCAAAACATCCAAATTCCTCCAGTTCACAACAAAATCTTACAAAAGAACTTTCTACACAAGTTATTAGTCCATTATGAAGCATGCATTTATTGACTGTGGTAAACAAACTTTATGATACATGTCTTTTACACATTACACCTGAAAATATTCAATCAGAAAAAAAAAACAAAGAATGATTATAAGAGAAAAACATGAAAAAATGTAATGATGCGAAGTAATACTGTTCTGTTTTCCTTATCCATTTGTCTATTTTCTGTATAATAATTAATCATTTTCAGAGTGTACTTTAATTTTGTTCTGTTTTCCTTAT